GAGAGCTATGCATTGGTTATCAGCTAAGTACAAAAACTGCAGTTGAAACTACTGACAGTACAGATCTCTGTAAATACCAAGCTTTCTCCCATCTCTACATTTTTAGTTTCAGCAGAAATTTATTTGCTGTTTTTATACCTGTATCAGTTTCAGACTTACTTTCAATTGTGACTAGAGTGCCTCAACACTACAAATTTCTACCAATTAAATACAAAAGCACCCACACTAATGTTAGTAAAGATGCTTGGAATTGAAAAAAGTCCTTTTGACTTTCAAAGTACTTGCTTATCGTTTACCATTTTTGTATGTCACAATATCGTCCCTATACTTTTTACCACAAATATATGTTTGGTTTTACTCTTAGAAAAATAGAATGATTTTACTTGAGATACAAAGCAATAAATTCTTAATTAAGATTTTCAGTTTAGGCAGTCCCTATCCCAGTTAAATTTTATATTATCTTTTAACCTTATATAATGCTTTATTTCATAAGTCTTGCAAAGTGACAACTCTTTAACTTAATACTGGTCATTGTGCTAAGCATTTTAGGTACATTATCTTACATTTTGAGGTGGATAGGTCACTACTCTCATTTTTATTTTTTTATTTATTTTTTTAAAGAGAGAGAGAGAGAGAGAGAGAGAGGGGATTTTTAATATTTTTTTTTAGTTTTCGGTGGACCAAACATCTTTATTTTATTTTTATGGGGTGCTGAGGATCGAACCCAGCATCCTGCGCATGCCAGGGAAGCGCATTACCGCTTGAGCAACATCCCCAGCCCCTATCCTCATTTTTAGATGAAGAAACTAAAGCTTTTTAGGACATCTTTGTCCCCAAAGTATATAATACAATCCAAATGTGTTAGCTTTAAATTTTCCAGCAGACATTTTTTTTAAACCAAATTGTCTTTTAGTTGTAGTTGGATATTTATTTGTTTATTTTTATGTGGTGCTGAGGATTAAACTCAGTGCCTCATGTGCTAAGCGAGTGCTCTGCCACTGAGCCACAACCCCAGCTCCACCAGCAGACACTTTAAAATGTTAAAAAAAAAACAGATGAAATTAATTTGAATAATATATTTATTCCATTACCTACAGAAAATATTATCATTTCATCATGTAGGTGATATACAATATAAATGATATATATAACATATGTGTGTGTGTCCATGTGCTGTCTTCAAAATAAAGTGTAAATTGTATACTCCTATTGCATCTCAAGTGGGGTCAGCCACATTCCATGTATTCAATAGCCATATGTGTCTAGTGATTATCTTATTAGAAAGTAAAGAACTAGAGGTCAATTTATCTGTAGTCACACACCTAGAAAGTGGAAGACCTGAAAGTCTAAAGTCCTTTTCTTAACTATTAGGTACTATAGCCTCTACTAATTATAATTATCGTTGATAGTTTAACATAAAACATAAAAAATATATGGAAAGTATTGTATCCAGTCTTACCTACTTTCTCAGTAGCAATTATGATCTACTGATTACAAAATTTATGCACAATATACACTGCAAGTTGTTATGTACAGCACAAAAATTAAAGGAATTTGGTTTAATGCAAAGTTGTATGATGGATAAAATGTACTTGTTATCTATTCCCTTAAGGGTATATTCTCTCTGTGTAGGTAAATCACAATCAGATATAGATTGCTTGATAAGAGGTGTTTCCATGTAAGGACAATTGAAATAATGGAATGTTTGATTGGCCTTATCGATCTTATTTTCAAAGTGATTTTGCCATAGAGATAAAATGTACATGGAAAAGCAATTTCAATGCTCTTCTCTTTGTGTCTTCCTTTACTAGTACACAATCAATCCTTTTTCAGATTAACACATTATTTCTCAGTTTTAATCGATTTTTACAGGCCTAAAAAACATCCTTACTCACATAAGTTTGTAAAAATCTCTGTTTTGATCCATTATATAATCATATAATGGCCTTTTAGCTTAATCCTAAGAGAGTAGGCATGTTTCCATGTTTATGGGATATATATTACCATAATTTCACTTTTATGATCATAGCAGAATCAAGGTTCAGATTCCAAATTGGTACATTGAAAAAACAAAATGCAATAAATATCATAGTTATTTTATAGTAGCTCAAAAAAACAGATTCTCACAGTATTTTTTTCTCTAATTACAATTTTTAATGCAAAATACATCCTGAAAACATGTAACCACACAATCTGATGACCATATGCTGAGAGACAGCAAAATGGACTGGAAATAATATGAGTTTGAATTTCCCAATCTATTTATATAGCTATAAAATCTTAGGCATTTTACCTAGTCCCTGCATCCTGATTTGCTTAAAAAATGAAACTAATAATATCTACCTCATAAAAATGATTACAAGAATTAATAGGACAATTTATATAATGCAGATGGTGCACAAATGCATTCAATAAAGTAAAGTCCTTCTCTCTGTAAGCAGAACAGAGTCTTCATCAGTCCTTTTAGAGTTATAATGCCAAGAGTTTTTGCAAGGTGTTCTGGCTTTTGGCTATTCCATTGCTCATTGGTGCCACCATCAGTCAGAACACAAGAGAAGAGAAAATAGGATTTTTTTTCCCATTATTTTCAGATGTGGAATTCTGTCAGTCTTTTCAACAAACTAAATTTCTTGAATGATTTTCTAGGTTACTCAGTTCAACTAGTAGAATCTCCTTGGCCCATAAATAATGATTCTACTCTAGAGAAACTATTTTTTTTTATTGTACTATACACTTAATACTAAAGGTTGTAGTCTAGGCTACTGAGGAATCCAGATTATCAAGGTCCCTGTAGTTGCATTTAGGATTTATACGGTCTGAATAGAAATGAAAAGTCTGTACTATTTAGCTCCACATTTTTGTGCAAATTTCCCAAACACTATGAGCGCTTCAGTTTCAGCAAATGTCATATGAACATAATTCTGTCATGATTATAACTTCAAATTCTTCAGAACAGCCACTTTCATCCCCTTGCCCCAGATTGGGATGAAAATCCTAAGAAATCTACTCATTGGGGTCTAAAGTGGGTGTTGTGAATAATTAGTAGAACTCTTAAAGTAATCATGGTGTGGCTTTGCCACACTGGGCTAGATCACTGATTTTATTTTCTTTGAGTATCTGCCATCCCCTATGACAGAGTCTCATCTAGCCGTGCAAATCCCAATAGTCAGAGCAGCAACCATTTGACAGCTTCTTATTTCATCACCCAGACATTTCTTTGCTCCCAAGAAGAAGGCAATGCATGTACTAGATATTATGAATAATAGAGGTAGAGTTCAAAGGGGAATAATATGTAACGTTAAAGTGTCTCCCTAGACCTGTGCAAGCAAATACTTGCTTTTGTTTTCCTTCATGCAGACTGCACAGAACTGCAGTGCTGATGTTTCTCCCTGTAGTGGTTTTAGGTGTAAAAAATAATGCTGCAGAAAAAAAAAGTGATGTGAGGAAAATTTAAACCAAGATTTTAGCCTTTAAAAATATCAGAAATTGGAAGGAAGGCAGTTAAGAATATGGAGAGGAACATGCTGGGGGAAAAGTCATAAAGATTTTCCCTTCAATTAAAAAAACTTTCTGTGAAAAAGCTCTTAGAGAAAATCAACTCATAATAATTAGCAAAATATTTCCTTCTTGATATTCTATCCCTATGAAGATGTTATTTCTCATTCCATTCACTAAGCAATAAATTTTAAAAATGGATCCTGTGCTCGAGGTGCAGAAAACAGTCTACTTTTTTCTCCTTTTATTTCTGGAAAGAAAGTCTCCTTTCAAAATCGAAGCACAGCACCAGAAAAAAAATAAGTTTTTCTACAGGTTAAACACAGAAGATGAATTATTCCCCCCAAACTCAACACCTTTGGAGAAGGTAATTTAGAGAATTCACCTGTATCGTTCTCTGGCCTCTGGGTCAATTTAAAGACTTGGATAGTGAAACAACAATCAGAGCAGACAAGCTGGGCAGGTTTTGATATTGCTGCCCTTGATTCTTGATACTCACCACACATCTGATCCATAATCCATAAACATTGTCCCTAGTCGCTCTTATGGTCTTGGGAAAACTGGCACCCTGATGCCCGCCCTGGTGTCGCCCACTAGGCAGCGAGAGTGTGCGGCAAGCACCAGCCTTGAAGCTCTGGGCTGGGTTCCTAACTCTCTTGCATCCTTTTCTACCTTGAAAACGCGCTGTCCACACCCGTCCCCAGCAGCGAAGCGACCAGACCCCCACCAAAGCATCCCTCAGGCAACATACCTGCATAAACTCACTCTTACTTGCCCTCTGGGGTAGCCAAACGCAGATCTCTCCCTCAAATCCCTCTTTTTCACCTCCCGACAATGAATCTGGAAAGGCAACCAAGGTACAGACACCGCTAACAATTGAATACAATATACGCAAAAATAGCCTGTAGGTTCAAACTGCGTCTTTGCCTGGCCCCTGCCCCTACTTCCACTATTCTGCCTTAAGTATCCTTTGTATGAGAAAATGGTGCGACCGAGTGCTTGTTCTCTATATGGAGTCAGGGCGAGCAGGGGGATCTTGAGAAAAGCACACAAAACAGAAAAAAAATCAAACTTCTGTAAGATAATGTCAATGAGTGAAACTTAAAGGGATGACTAAGAGAGCAATGAGCGGAGGACTGAGGGAGCAATGAATGTCCTCGTTTTTTGCTCCTGAAAGCATGTTCCCTGAAAGCGGCGCATTTTTCCCAGCAGCTCGTCCCGCACGCGAGTGTGCCACCAGCACGCATTCCTCCTTTTTCCCAGGGCAGCGAGCAGTAACTTCCTAATCTTACCTCTATCTCGCCCCCGCCCGTCTCCCTGGGTTCTCCGTCAGCCGGGAGGGGCCGCCTCCAGAGCGACGGGGGATGTTGGGTGCTGGGAGTGGGGGCCAGAGGGGGGTACCCGGCAGTTGGTGCTGCGCCATCCCCTCCCAGCAGGCGGCCCGGGCACTGGTTCACTTTTTCCTCCCCACTCCTTCCACTCGCTCACCCCCTTTCCTTCCCCCTTCTCCCCCTCTGTATAGTCCCACCCCCTCGCCAATAAAAAGGGCTGGCTCGGCTCTGGCTCCTTGCAGTCGGCGAATTGTCAGGGCGGGAGGATCCGTGAGCCTGAGCAGCACGCAGTGGCCCGCGCGGCAAAGCAGAAAGCAAGCCTAACAGAGTGCACTGAGTGGCAGTGGCAGCGGTGGCACAGGCAGCCCAGGCAGTCCGGGCAGCCCAAACAGCCTCAGAAACAACCTCGACTACTCCAGCTGCTCCGCGGACTGCGAGCTGTGGCGGTAGAGCCCGCTACAGCAATCGCAGTCTCCGTGGAGCGGGCGGAAGCCTTTTCTCTCTTTCGTTTACCTCTTCATTCTACTCAAAAGGCGTCGTTCACTGGGTAAGTATTCTGTCTGGGTGCCAGAACAGACTGCGGCCGGGGAGGCATGACATGTCCCGCATTTAGTGCGTGGAGATTGCCTGCTGCCTATGCCTGGGGTCTGGACTATGCGCACAGGGTGGTTTCAAAGATGCTACTGGTGATCTCGCTTCCCCCTTTCCCCTTCTCTTCCCTAGAGGTAAGAGAAAGAGCAAATCCAGTAGGTGAGCTCAGAAAGAATCTTTTTTGGCACTGCCGCGCTTGGTTTAGTTACTTTGTGAAAACTCTTACTTTTGTCAGAAAAGTGTCCACACATTAATTTCCCTGCATTGGCTGTGCAAAAATGTCTTTCACTTTAACAGATATGGAGAGTTTCAGCTTGGCTGAATGAAACTCTAAGATTGGGGCAGGTGCCTAGAAAAGATCGCTCCCCAGAGTCCTGGGGAGCAGTCCGAGCTGAAGGGCAATGCCAGAAGCTTGGCATCAGACTCGGACTTTGCCAGGCCAGCCCCTTTGCGCTCCTTTCTCTGGGCGCTTGGGTTTGGATCCCTTACACACTGGCTCTAACCCTTGGGTATGCGACCCTTGGCGCAGAGCTAAAGAGTTCTGCATACCATGTGGCACATAGGATCCCTCTGACCATTCCTTCTGGTGCTCACCTCCTGGCCCTTCCTTCCCGCCCTACTTGCAAGGCTGTGCTCAGCCACACCTGCTGGATATGGAGAGGGTAGGTGTGGAAATTTCTGCCTCTTATTTCTAAAGCAACTTCTTATATTTGCATCGCTGAAAAACGGAGTACTGTTTCCATTTTTTTAATGACTTCTAAGAGTGTAGCTGAACCATAAAGGGTTCCTCTTTCTCTAAAGAAATGACTTGTATTCCCTTAGCCAAAAACTCCCACCTATCCCATAAACATGACGTTTTCTAAGAGACCCGAAAAAATGGAAAAAATGTTTCTCTCTCCACAAAGGGGTTTCCAGAAGCGTGTAGCCAAAAAACGTCTCCTTTTCACAAAAAGAAATGCCTCTTAAGAGCGTCATCGGAAAAAGGTGACTTAAAAAGCAGGTACCTGGAAAAGAGCATATTTCTTTAGAGACTCAAAAAAGCAGAGCGACAAGTCCTGGGTTGAAGACATGACTTACAGATGAGCACTTGGTAACAAATTTCGCCTCCCGGGGGCAGTCACTATCCCAGACCAAATAGCAAAAGCCACTTCTTTGCCTCCTCCAAGGAAGGACTTTCAGAGCTTAACTGATGAAGGCTCCTTTGCTTTCAGAATGATATATTGCAAGGTCGCTCTTTTAGACGCCTTTGAGGCTTGAGGTGCAGGGAGCTGGGGTTTGCCTGTGAAGTATGAGTGTGTGCGCGTGCCTGAGGGCTATCCCTCATGTCTGTGAACGGAGTGCCCTTCCGAAATGTTACCTTGGGGCCTGGGAATACAAACTTGCGCCACTGCGGCACACATCCACAAAGCAAAGTCAGGAGAGAAGAGAAGCCAAAACAAAAGAAAAAAATAAAAGTACACCCAAAGAGTAACAAAAATTACCCAAAAAGTGTCCTTGCTTGCGAGGAAACATCCCCAAACGGGATGGATTTAAACCTAGTCTAGGAGCTGTTTCTGTACAAAGGATATTTGAGTGGGGGTAAAAAAGTGGTAAAAAATCCGGGTAGACGGGAAAGAGGATAAAAAGATGGGAACAGAGCAATTCTGAGGAGCCGCATGCATAGTCCTAGCGCAGCGACAAGAAAACAACCTGAGGAGCTTGCGGAGAAGAATTGGGAACGCTGAGCACAATACCCAAGAAGGTGTCAGCGCTTTGTAACTTAAAGCGACCATCTTCCTCCACCTCCCTAAAAAGTAAAACGGTGTGACTTAAAAAAACGGGGAGGGGTTTACTTGCAGGCACCTTTGTAACTTGGTAAAAGACTAAATGGAATTCCACTTTTAATCTTGTTTGAGACAAATTCTCAGAATCAAGGCGGGAAATCTAAACCTCTGTGTTATTCTTTCGTGTGTGTGTGTGTGTGTGTGTGTGTGTGTGTGTTGGGGAAGGCGCATTTGAATGCAAGTCGAAGTAATAGTATATGTACGTTCCCCCCTTTCTTGTCTTTGTCTGGTTCATCTGAGACAGCATGGACTGTGTGAGGGCGGTTTTGACGAAAGAACCGAGAGATGGACGTGCTAAGGTCTAAAGATACCTTTCTTCTCTCTGCTAAATTAAGAACTGCCGCGCGCAGCTCCGTGATCCGAGTCCCGCCGCCACTGCCAGGGCGCTGAGCTTGCCAAGCAGCACTGGAGCGCCTCCGCGAGTGAGGCCATAGAACCCTTCCTCCAGTCGCCTTTGCTCGGGCAGCCCCTCCTTCTGGCAATGATGTCAGCGGCAGAGAGGCTTGGCGGGCAGAGAGGAGGCTGAGTGGCGAGTCCCAGCCCTGCCCCGCGCGCTCCCTGCGCGCAGCCGCCCTTGCTTCCCTTAGTTCCTTCCCGCGCTCCCGCTCACGGCCCCTCCCTCCAGCTCCCTGACTCCCCAGAAGTGCGCTTTGGTGCTGAGGATGGGGGCTGCCACTGTGGGCCACCACGGATTTGGAACCCCGGGATCAGACCGAGATCAGGGTCTTCCCCCACCCTTTTTCCTCCTTCTCCTAGCGCTCCCTTTTCTCCCCTTCAGCTCGCACCTTCACTATTCACAATGAAAGAACATTTAGCGGCATTTTAGAGGGCAAGTTTTCCAGATGTAATAATAATAGTTACCAGTGCTAAATTTCCGCTGTTTTCTCCCCCGCCCGCGGAAAGGAAGAGGATGTGCTTCTTTAAAACCGTGCGGCAGTCTCTTGTCTTCCACAAAGCAAGCTCCCTAGAAGGGGAGATTTGTCTTCCCAAAGAAATGGTGCGGTGGGGGAGGGAACGATCGAAGGCAGACGCTCAGGGTTGGAAGTCCCCTTAACTGAAAGAAGGAACTGAAAATTGGAAGTTGAGGAGAGAGAGGCTCCAGTCCCTGCTGCTGCTACTGCAGAGGAGAGGCCACCGTGCTCTTTATTGTAAGACTGCGCAGTCACTTCTACAAACTGGCGCGCCAAATTGGGAAGATTCCGGAATAGGTTTACAAGACAGAAGCCCGCTGCGGCTTCCCTACTGAGCTTGCCCCTGTCTTTTTAAGGAGTAACCCCCCACTTTCCTAATTTGACGCTAATCCGTTTTCCCTGATTGCGGACAATTCATTCTTTATAAAGCTCCCAGAGAAGGGCCATAGAATTCAGTGGGACAAGGTTGCACAGGGCCAGAGGGAGAGGATGGAGGCTGGGCGCGTTGGGGGCATCTGGGTCCTAGAGCTGAGTTACTTTCCTAAGGAAATTACATTCGAGGAGGCTCACAACAAACTGCTTAGCTACTGTATTTTGGTTTGGAGGCAGGTGGGAGATGTGGGGGTAAAGGGAGCAGGAGCTAAAAATTCCTCAGTTCTCCCCACTTATTTTTCCTCTCCCTTTTGGAAGGCTTCCTTTGCATGATATATCACTGGCAGCAAAATTAAAGTTGCTGTGCGTTTGAAATACATAAATGGGAAATAAATTCAGACCAAGCATAAACACACATTTTCTAGATTTCAATCATTTTCTAAGGATCTAAAGGCCCGCCCCCCTTTTATCACCAGAATGCTATTCTGATGGACTTCCAAGTGCTGTTGGGTATTGGCAGCTGGAAGCTCTGGAAGAAGGGATTGCAGATTTCACATTATTCTTTCTCTTGGTATTCAAAACTTTTTATTTATTTATTTATTTACTTACTTACTTATTTATTTGTGTGTGTGTATGTGTGTGTGTGTATGTGTGTGTGTGTGTGTGTGTGTGTGTGTGTGTGTGAGAGAGAGAGAGAGAGAGAGAGAGAGAGAGAGAGAGAGAGAGAGAGATAGAAATTCCTGATAGAGAGCTATCAGACTGCTAGTGGCAGGAAGAAATCTGGTAAGGGATTTAGAAAGCATAAAACATTTCTTTTCTCTCTTCTCTCTGTGCAAGCAGCCCACAACAGCCTTCAAGCCAGGATTTATAAGATTCTTGGGGGAGCAAGGGGAGGCACACAGATGAGGAGACTTTATATAAAGGATGGCTTTGAGTTACATTGACAAAATAGGTATGGTGGCCACGTTTTCTATTACTAGGAAAGGAAATTTTTCAGAGGATGAAAATTTGATTGCTCTTTCCAATAATCTTGCTTCACATATTTTAAAGAAGGTCTCATCCTTTATTTATTCACCAAAGAATCTACAGACATTAATTAGTCACCTACGGCTGTGCCAGACAATGTGATAGGTTCCAGGAATATATATATATATATATATATATATATATATATATATATATATAATGAAAATAACGTGGCATGGCTCTCTTTGATCCAGAAGATTACAGGAGCCAGGATACAATGTGACAAATGTTCTAGCTGAGTACAGTGGAAGGAAGAATTAATTTTTGATAAGAGGTTTAGAAGAGATTCATAAAATCTGTGTTGCTCTGACTTTAAAACACAGCTACTCTAGTTAGTGGCTAGCCAGGAAGTAAATTTGGAATGTTGTGCTGTACACATACTAAAGAAGGGTCTGTGTGTTGTCCAGAGGGGCTTTGGACTTAAAGAGTATCTGTGCTTTATAGATACAGGCCACCTTTACAAAAATTTCAATCAGATATGTATTAGCAGCAACAAAACAAAGTGGGACTCTTCCACAGTAGGCGGCACACAGTAGAAATATTGTTTTTCTTTTAATAAATAATTGTATAAACTGGTGTATTGAAATAGGCCACCAAGTTAAGAAGATTTTATAACAGCAAGCAAACAGGGCAAACACTGAGAGCCTAAATAAATCAATGAAGGAGAGAATGATTCTTTGGGGAAGAAAATGTTTCTTTAGTCAGCGACATCTAATTTTATCATTTTACTTATCACAATTTCCTGATCCAGCCTTCCATATACTTCCTATTCCACCAAAACAATAAATGCATTCTTGCACTCCTTTAGGCATTTTGAAGCATAC